ACTAGAAACCAAACTTATATATATTGATTTGGATTGACAAAACACTGCAAGCAAGCAAAAAATAAAAATGGCAGAGAAAAGATAAAAGAGTGGCTAGCACTTCGAGGGTCTAGCAGCCTCCCAACTGATTCCAGATTTCCTCCTGCCATCAACTGCAAATGCTCTCTCATAATACAACTGAAATCACACTTTCTGCACTCCCTTACGTGGAGATTCATCATAACTAATTCTAATCTGAATTTCCCAAGCTGCCCTTTTTCTTCTTCTTGTATATTTTAGTTATAGGAGGCTTATCAATGTCCATATATCGGTTGTCAAAGCAATTCTGGACTTCAAATGCCACAACTTGTTCTTGAGTGCAGCTTTCTCACAATTGAAGATCTTCGAACATCCCTTGCCACTGTGAACGGAAACATTCTTCCATAACAATTGCAATGCATTAAAAATTTTCTAACCTTTGGATACTCAACCTTCGTGAAACGATCTTCCGTACTAATTATCACTTTAGCACAACTTCCTACACTCCTCTTGATTAATCTCTAAGTACCAACCTCACTAGTTTGCCCTCCATCCTTTTGTTGTGGTCTTGAAATAGAAAGTGTCTACGAACTGTCTACATTCTGAGAAACTTCTTGCACACTTGTAAGATGCTTGCGCATCGAAGAAGTGCCATTACCACACTATACGTGAAGGTCTTCTCACAATACATGCACTTTTCCCCTCAATCTTGTTCATTTTGCTGTGTAAATCTTCTCAAAATGTTGTCACACCACAGAATTACCATTTGGCCTAAACCGTGGAGGCTCATTTGAAGTTGACTCTATAGCAATGTCTGTGCATTCTAAACCTTAGTGTTTTCTCTAGTCGATGACATTGTTTCCCCTGCAAAGATTACATAATAAATAATTATTTAACTAGATAAAGAATTATTTATCAACCATAGAAAATAAATCCTTATAGGATAGATGTTCATAAGAGGAAAATTTGTCACATCCTATATCAAAGTTTGCAACCGCCGAAATTGCAGCAGCAGCTTGCAACTGCTGCAAATTGTAGCAGAGTTATATAAAAATTTATAAAATTAAATCATATATAGCATTGTGCATTACATGTCTGTGGATTGTAGTTATGGATTATAATTGTAGAAATTGCTTCAAAGAAACGAAACCCAGTTCACAAATCACTAATCTCTTTCAATTACCATTGTTTTAAGGGCCAAAAGAGAAGCCCCACAAGCACAAGCACAATACAAAGGCGACTGAACAGAAAGAATAAAAGGAATAAAGAAAAAGAGAATATGGATTACAGCATTATAAGTTAATAACGCCAAAGAGAGATAATATTAACATAGTTTATTAGTTTCATATCACGCACCTTCATCTGAGTAATATGCCTCGGAGAATCAACACTTGAAGTTTCAGAAAACACAGGAGAAGAAGACGACAAGAGAATGGAGAAGAAAGAATAAAGAGTTATTGAGATAATACCCTAATCGAATTGGGTATTTTCACTATTTTGCTTTGTGTTTGTAAATGTAATATTACAAGATACCCCATTATTTATACTAACATTGAACAGGGTCTATTTGATAAATTAATAATTATTAATGTTTATAAATTTATAATTTAATGTTATAATTGGGTATTTATAATATACTAAATACTAATGTAGTAATTTAATGTTATAAATTATTAATGTTTATAATGTAAATAGTAATCTTGTAATTAATTAAGTAATTATTTAATTAAATGTAATGTTATAATTAATTAGTATCAATACTAGATTTATAATTATGTTATAATTAATTAAATTTCTAATTATTTAATTAAATATTGTACTAATGTTCATAATGTAAGTATAATATTAAGAAATCGTATTATAATTTATAATGTAATGTTACAATTAATTAGATTTTTTAACCGTTTAATTAAGTAATGTACTAATGACTAATGAGTTCTCTCTAGGATAGTCAACCTGCCACTCTTCACCTTTCCACCAATCCACCACCTTTCTCCTCCATCCGCATCCATTTTGCCACCACTTTTATCTTTCTCCTCCACCATCCACTTTTTCTCCTTGGTCGATATCCCTCTTCTCTTTCTTTTTCTTGTTGCTTGTGCTTAGTCGTTTATGGAGAAAAAGTAGTTTTTGGTTTGGTCATGTTTTTCCAGAGTTGGTGTTGTCCTTTGCTTTGGCTATGAGTTGGTTGATGTTGTATGCTGGAGATTATTTTTCCACTGGAGGGTTATGCCTTCCTTCCCTCTCTCTTCGATTTTTTGAATTTTCCTCCTGTTCCTTCATTTCTTTTCTTATCCGCCACGTGACATGCTTCCATGGCTTGAGAGATTGCTACCTTATCCTTTGTCCTTACCTTTTCACGTCACCTCTCTTCTATTGGTTCCTTGTGATTACCTTTCCCTTTATCAACCGACCCGCCACATTACTTATCCTTATACTGTCAGTTTTCTCCACCCCATTGCCATCATCCCCTTCACTTGCCACATGTGCGACGACACCCTTGGTGTCATGTCACTAGAGAGAGATTTTTTTTTGAAAGAAGTTATAACCGTTAGCTTCCCTCCTTTTTCTTCTTTGCTTGTTTGGTTCCTTGGTTCAATGGGGGTTTTTGAAGTAGGTGAGAGTTTGGTTTTGAGTAAAGAAAAAAGTGTGGATAGTGTTGATTTCCCTCTTCTCCTTACTAGCAAAATTTGAATTCGGATTTAAGGGAGTGGTCAAGAGTGAAATGTGTAAGCCTTGGAAGGAATGGCTCTAAGGAGTATAAGATGAGAAGGGAACAGAAATAGCAAGGGTGAGGTTAGTCAGTATTCCTGTGATGGTGCTTCTCTCAACGTGCTTGGAATAAGCTTTTTATTTTCTAAAGATCCGATATGAAATTAGAGTTTTTTGAGCTGGAGTATGTGGATGTTAGGAGAAAAGTGAGAGTATCCCTCATAAAAAGTTGCAAATTTGAGGTTGGATAATGGTGGAATTACCTAATTGGTTTTTTCCTTGGAAGAAATTACCCTTTTCGGTGATCAAGAGCTATGTGGTTAGAGCATAGGGAAAACTTGGGAATATTAGGGTTATTTCACATAGGATAGAGGTTTCATTTTTAAGTTTGAGGATGATGTCAGTAGGACCAAGTGTTGGAGGGAAGGCCTTGGCATGTGGTCGGTCAACCATTATTCCCCAAGAAATGGTGCTCCAACCTAAACTTATCTAAAAAGGAGTGAGGAAAGTTCCGGTATGGGTGATAGGCTTGAATTTACTAGAGTACATGTGGAGATTGATTCGTCTTCGAATTTTTCAGAGATTATTAAACTTGTGCTCTCTAATTGGGACTGGTGGATTTATATGTGTAGTATGCTTGGAAGCCTATGACATGTTCGTGGTGTAAAGTTTTCAATCATCATCCAAGAATTATCGAGATGCCCCTAAGGAAGTAAGCCGATGCAAAACACCAAAGTGCCCCATCAAAATGAGTGGACAATGATCAATAAGAAAATAATTATGCATTTATGGAAGCTTAGAGTGAGTTAAAACAACATCAACAAACAACACTTCTAGATTCTGCATCAGTTACTCTAAAAATTGACTAAATCGGCAACAATAACAACTCACAAAGATAACAAACACTTCGGCAACACAACTACAAGATAAAACAACACCAATAAATTAAGGCAGATGCCAATGAACTCCCAAAGTGTAAAGACAACATCATTGGCTAGGGAATATCACTACAACCACAATAACCAGATAAAAGCCAACCCAAGTCGTAAAGGCTAGGCCACCGAACAGGGTCTCCAACGTAAAGGCAATGCCACCGTTTGGATTTCCACCACCGAGCTAGGCTAAAACTTGGACAAAAGATAGATAAAATGCTCTCACCAAATACTTGATTTTCATTCATCAATTTTAAACATTACAATGGAAGAACTTGGCCTTATATAGACCTTACAAATAATGCGCTAATCAAGATGAAATCTAAGCCATTCAATTGGCATCCAAGCAAAACATAACATAATCTTGACCTACTTGTGGCGGCCAAGCTTATGAAGTAAAGGCCTTATGATTTGTGAGAGTTTATGGTAAGATAAATACTAGCAATGGATGTTTAGTGCTATGTTTGTACACCTTTTCTAATACTATAGGAACATCAAGATCTGACAAAGGTACAAAGTATGTATATTGGAAGAGTCCTAAACCTCAAAATTTAGAATTGAAGGTTGGCCCTGCTAACAGTTGTTAGGATGATTCCCACTATTGGATGAAATTTTGATCTAGTATAAACACAAAGCTCAGAAGGCAAGAGATTATCTTGTAGTATATCTCCCCTTGTTTGTGTACACTAAGGTCTGACAATGGTAGATTAAGATTCTCTAAAGAGGTTGAGCCAAATATTGCATGCATCCATAGACACTTTAATTAAATTTATTGAATGCTAAAATCTAGTTTTCTACCTTACATACATGTTAGTTATACTAAACAAAAAATATTGATTACCTTGACACATTAATTTATGGTTTGATCTTTAGAAAACTACTCTAATAAATGGATGCATAAGATGAGTGACAAGAAGATCAAACAATTCTATATATGTTGTTTTAAAGAGCACAAATGACACCAAGTTATCCCGAGTTAATTGTCATGGACAGGGGGTTTTCATTCATCAAGGATTGCATTCTTAAATTCACTAATAAATGTCCACCAAATTTTAAAATGTATGGCTACACATGCCAAAGACTTGAATTTGTCCACCAAACATTAACAAGCCAATTATAAGGGAAAAAAACAGTTTTAAAAACAAGCTTCCAAACTTTACAATCATTTTTTTCAAACCATTCAAGACAACATTCCCAGCAAACAACAGGGTAGCTACTCTCCAATTTCCAAGTATTCTTTGCATTCCTTTGCCAATCAATCTGTTACTATTGTTTGTTTGCTTCTGGGATTTGTTTTTAACCTTCAAATATAGAAGATGTTGTGAGAAAAGATCAGCGATGGATATAAGGGAAGTGAAGAGAATTGACTGCGCGTCCAGTGGTAATTTATTTTAGCTAGAGTTTGTTGATTATTTTAAATTTGGAACTCCACTTAGCACTTTATTTCCTCATCTCTATAGAATTTCAACCTCTCATTTTGTTACTATTAGTAGTAGAATGGTTTTTCTTCATTGTCTATTAGTTGGAATTAAATTTTTGAGGAAATTTTCTCACCTGTTTGTTACAAGAGATATCTAGGAAGCCCTAGATCACCCGGATTGAGCTAGCATTTTTAAAAGAAATAGAGCTCTTCGAAAATATGGTACTTGGGAAATTGTTGATTTACCCAAGGAAAAGAAAATTGTGGGTTGTAAATAGGTGTTTACATTAAAACAAGTAAGTGTAGAAGATACAAAGCACGACTAGTAGCCAAGGGATTCACATAGACCTTTGGAATTAACTACCAAGAAACATTTGCGCCAGTAGCCAAAATTAACTCAATTCATGTCTTACTTGCTCTTACAGTACATCCTAATGGGCATTTACATTAGTAAGATGTGAAAAATGTTTTTTTTAAATGGAGATTTGGAAGAGGAGGTATTTATGGAGTTACCACCTAGATTCGAAGGTAAACTAGGAAGTGAGAAGGCATGTAGATTGAAGATATCTTAGTTTAAGCGATTCGAGAAAGCTGTAAAAGGTCAGGGTTACGGTCAAAACCAAGTTGATCACATGTTTATTTTTAAACACTCAAGTGATGGGAAAATTGCAATTTTAATTGTTTATGTAGAAGACATAATATTGAAAGGAGATGATTTTGCTGAACTTGAAAGATTAAAGATGGTTCTTACCCCTGAATTTAATATTAAGGACTTGGGTACAATGAAGTACTTCCTAGATATTGAATTCTCTAGGTCTAAGAAAAGGATATTTATTTCTCAACGAAAATATGTGCTTGATTTGCTAGGGGAAACAGGTTCGCTAGGGTGTCAAGCGACTGAGACATCTATAGAGTCCAACTTAAAAATGCAACATGCCAAGCCTGAAGAAGTAATCGACAAAGGAAAGTTTCAATGGCTAGTTGGTAAACTAAATTACCTTTGTCACACTTGTCATGATATAGCCTTTGCAGTTAGCATAGTAAGTCAGTTTATGTACTCACCTGAAAAGGAACATTTTGATGTTGTTTATAGAATACTGAGATACTTAAAAGGAACTCTAGGAAAAGGTCTTCTATTTGAAAATTGTGGGTATCTTCAAGTTGAAGTTTACACAGATGCATATTGGGCTAGGAGTAAAATAGATAGAAGATCAACTTCTAGGTATTGCACCTTTGTTGGAGGTAATTTGGTTACTTGGCGGAGTAAGAAGCAAAATGTGGTGGCTAGGAGTAGTAAAGAGGCAGAGCTTAGAGTAGTTGCTCATGGGATTTCTAAAGTTTTGCGAGTAAAAAAAACTGCTGGAAGAAGTAAGGGCTACCAATCCGCTACCTATGAAAGTTTACTGTGATAACAAAGCTGCCATTACTATTGCTCATAATCCAGTACTTCATGATAGAACCAAACATGTTGAAGTTGACAAACACTTCATTAAGGAAAAATTAGATTATGGCCTAGTGTATATGTCTTACATTCCTACTATTAATTAGGTTGCTAATATAGTTACTAAGGGATTACCAATAACAATTCATAAGGTTGATGGGCAGGCTGACTATGGAAGACATCTTCAAACCATATTATTTGGGGGATTTGTTGTATATTTTGTATTATTAAGAGATTATTGTCTTTCCTTAAAAATCAGGTTTTAATTATCTTATTGTACAGTTGTAGGTTTTCTATAGTTAGGTTTTTTTTTTCCTCTCTGTCTAATGTAAATCTCTATAAAAAGAGTCTTGAATCTTTATTAACATATGAAGAATAAAACCTAAAACTCTTTTTTACGAGTTTCATACATAGTTTTTCATATTAACACAAAATTAGTACGACATATGTACAAAATATGCACGATATAATTTAATGCATTCGTTAATCGTAACATAAGTGATAACATGACTCATTTGACATCTGGTGTATTCGGATTTATGTACAAAATCTAGTAGATATACCATGAAGTATATAAAATAGATTGTATTTGCCATGTAGTTTCAGTACAAAAATGTTAGCAGAACATAAACAATTGAGTGTAGTTTTAAAACTTCTATAGTCAACAACCAAGTGAAGATTCACGAGCAAGAACACTAGCACCTATAAAATGGTTGGCTTTGACAGCAACTCAGATGAATAGCTTCACTTTTAATGGAACAAAATGGTTGGTATAGGGTTTTGAATCAATTTGGAATGCTCTAAGTTGTGAGCTTAGACGACCAAACATGACCTTTACCTATAAAAGTTGATTGAAGACTCATTTTAATTTAATATCAATGGAATTTGACTAAAGCCAACTGCTTTCAAGGTTTAAGTCCTATTGTCATCAATTATTTACGTATAAACACTTTTTTTTTTTCCATTTCAACTCTTCAACCAATTTTTATTGTACACATTTTGTGTGCATACCATATTAATATTGTGATATTACTGTGTTTGATATTAAGTCAAATATTTAATGGTATTTATGTTTTTTCAGTCAAATAGTAACGGAAGCCCTAACACAACTGAAGGTAGGTGGGAAAGTGTCGTTTTGAAACTAGACTAGTGGAAAAGTGTTGTTTTGTCTAACTTTGGGTGGAAAAATGTCGTTCCCCCACAATGAGATTGAAGATGGACACAAAATTTCTAAGGGATTGCTGACGACTAAACGACCTTATCCCACCCAAATAATGGCCTAATGACATTTTCCCACCCACGAACTTTTAAAATATAACTTTACTAGCCAAAGAACAATTCTGTTAATATATTTCATTGTAAAAAAGGGCAAGATGGTCAAAAATCCGTTATAAGTAAGGGTATGATGGTCAATTAACAAAACCCCCATCACCCTCACCCTTTTGCACCACCAATCATCGGCCCTTCTCACTCTAACACCTAATTTCTCACCAGTGAGCAGAGGCAATCGGAAAAGCAGTCGTTAGCATCATCTTCCCCTCACCCCTTTTTAATAACCGACCTCACCCCACCCATTTTCACCCTCTAATCACCGAAAATGTCCACTTTTTTTTTTTGTTGAACACCCATCTTCAGGCTTGTTTCTGATCGATTGTCACACCGAAAATTCACCCTTCCAAACGACCACAACCACCACTCTAGCAGCCTCTACACCATCCCCACCTACTTTTTCAGCCCTCAATCGACCCAAAATAGCACCCAAACACCTGTCCACCAACTATTCGATAAAATGCCCTAACCAACCAAAACACACTCCACCAGGTAGGCTTGAAGAGGAAACCCTAGTTCTATGCGATGGACGGTGGGCAATCAAGGTTAAGGACTTACAAGTTTTGGAGGGGGGACGCCGGCGGTGCGAAAGGTGGTGGCTAGGTAAGTTTCCGGTGAGGCAGTTGACGAGAATTGTGCTGGGAAGAGGTAACGTTTGCACTAAAACCTAATAGGTAGGCGGCAACGATCGGTGGATAATTGGGTTGGGAGATGTTAGGGGTTTTGTTAGGGTGGCGTCAGTAAGTCAAATGGTGTGGTCGGAGAGGGTTGTCCTTGTCAGATTCGATCGGAATAGCTTCAAAAATGCGTCAACCAAAGGAAGTGCAGTGGTTGGCAATTGGTGGAGTAGTTGGGTGTGGGTTGAAGAGGGTTTAAGTGTGTTGGCAAAGGGGAGTGATATGGTGGGGTTGGGGTCAGCGTGCGACACCGGAATCAGACCGTTTGATGGCATCGGCCAACAGCCACAATGGAGGCTAAGAAGAGGAGAAGAAGAAGAGTAAATGTTATTTTCGTCTTCACAATGAATATTACTATATTTAACTAAAATTATTAACGAAATATAACATTTGATTAGTAAAGTAGTATTTTGAAAGTCTGTGCATAGGAAAGGTCATTAGGCCATTATTTAGGTGGAAAAAAGTCGTTTACTAGATTGTTGACACAACCTTCAATATTCAAGATATATCATGCATATGTTAGCTGAGATTTATGATGTCATTAAATTTGGTGATCAAGGGAGGGGGGGTTCTTGGGCAATATTTTTACCCTTGGTGGACGTGAAGGCTACTGTAGAATTTGATATGAGTAGTAAGGACTTATTGAAACATTTTATAATTGTAGACGTAAAAATCTACCTGTACGGAAGGGGGGTCTGATCCCGTGAGGTCAAAGCCACTAGCGATCCACTGCACCTGTACACGTAAAGAAACACACGCGTGAAGCGAACGGTCCGATCTACCCCCGAAGCTTCATGGTTCGGTTTGAAGTAATGCCTACAATGGAGTTCATGGATAGTGAGAGAGGATTACCTTCCGGGAAGTTTTCTGTTCTAGTTCACTCGTGTTTTCTCCTCTGTCAGGTTCATCATCATCCATCAGCATTAGAACTTGAAGAGATCGACTCTTACACCTGTGATTTGGCCCAAATTTCGTCACACAGGAAGCACAGCCCCCTTTCGCACTTATTGCAGATCTGCCTCCTTCAGTCACTGGAATCCGTCATTGCGTGGTGGAGTGGTTGCTCTCTCCCATCATTTTTTCTCCCCTATCCCATACCCGGTTTGTTCGTCCTGTTTCTAGAGGTTTGACTCCTAAATTCCACCCATTTTGTCGTCCCAGATCGGAGTTAAGGAGATCTGATTGTAACTCTCGGGTTTGCCCAATTGGATTTCGGATCTACCCATTTGGTTTTTAAAAGTCTGGGCTTAGATTTGTCCAGACCCAGTTTTTTTTTCTTCTATTCTATGGGCCTGGTCAATGAGCTCAAATAGACTATTGGATTTGCTTCCCCTTAACTCAGCCCTTAACTCTTCTCTAAGACCATTTGCAAAAATACCCATCAGGAATCTTCTCCTAATTCATGCAGGAGGGTTGACAATTCTTCAAATTGCTCTCGAAATTCAGTAATAGTCCTAGTTTGCTTCAACACCACCAGAGCTTCATACGCAGACCCCTTATACGATGGTCTGAATCTTTCCACCGACGCTGATTTGAAAGAGCTCCAGGAGGTTATTGGCGATCGAGATTCAACCCATTGGTACCAGTTCAAGCTCATCCCTCCATACAACCGCTGCTACCTATACTTTCTCTTCATCTTCTTACTTATCATCGCAAAATACCGTCACTCTGAAGGTCCATCCGAAGGGATCATTTCCGTTAAATATCGGCAGTTCCAGTTTGCAAATCTTCTTGTCCTCCTTCTCGTTATCACCGCTGTGTTTTTGTTCAGATTCCTTGTCTTGGCTGGAAGTTCGATCCCCCGATGAAGATGATTTTCTCCTTATTTTGTTGTTCATCCCCTTTCTTCCCTCATATGCATTAATTCGCGCATCCCCGTTAAGTACTCCCTCACACTTCCTAGGTCAGTTTTCATGGTGTCCATGCTTTCTTTCACACTGTTTTCATTTCTTTTTCTACGTTTTCCATCCTGTTCTCCATCTTGGGTTTGACCATTCCCAACCTATCTCTGATACCAAATTGATGAAACATCATAATACCACCAAAACTCAAAGAAATATGGTTAGTGAAAACTCAGTACACAGCTCTGAACTAGAAACCAAACTTATATAAGTGACACAGCTCTGTACTAGAAACCAAACTATATATATGATTTGGATTGACAAAACACTGCAAGCAACAAAAATAAAAATGGCAGAGAAAGATAAAAGTGGCTAGCACTTCGGGTCTAGCAGCCTCCCAACTGATTCCAGATTTCCTCCTCCCCATCAACTCAATGCTCTCTCATAATACAACTGAAATCACACTTTCTCACTCCCTTACGTGAGATTCATCATAACTAATTCTAATCTGAATTTCCCAAGCTGCCCTTTTCTTCTTCTTGTATATTTTAGTTATAGGAGCTTCAATGTCCATATATCGGTTGTCAAAGCAATTCTGGACTTCAAATGCCACAACTTGTTCTTGAGTGCAGCTTTCTCACATTGAAGATCTTCGAACAATCCCTTGCCACTGTGAACGGGAAACATTCTTCCATAACAATTGCAATGCATTAAGAAATTTTCTAACCTTTGGATACTCAACCTTCGTGAAACGATCTTCCGTACTAATTATCACTTTAGCAAGCAACTTCCTACACTCTCTGTTATTAAATCTCTAAGTACCAACCTCACTAGTTTGCCCTCCATCCTTTTTGGTGGTCTTGAAATAGAGAAGTGTCTACAACTGTCTACATTCTGAGAAACTTCTTGCAACTTGTAAGATGCTTGGCATCGAAGGTGCCATTGCCACACTATACGAAGGTCTTCTCACAATACATGCACTTTGTCCCCTCAATCTTGTTCATTTTGCTGTTGAATCTTCTCAAAATGTTGTCACACCACAGAATTACCATTTGGCCTAAACCGTGGAGGCTCATTTGAAGTTGACTCTATAGCAATAGTCTGTGCATTCTAAACCTTAG